TTGAGGTTGCATAGATGAGATCCGTTGGTTGGTTGGTTTATTGGATGGATATTGTGAGGCAATTGCTATGTTGCGTTTGTAGATGGATCCGTTGTTGTCTTGCATATTCGACTCAATTGATGATTTGTCAAATTTTTGCTCTGACTTTAGCTACTAGACTCATCTTTAACTTGTGGGTGTTAATTTGCTTTTTTGTCTTCGAGGTTTGCCATTCTTCCCACATCTTTTACTTTAAAATGGAAGTCTTTTTTAGCTGCTTAGCGTAGAATAGTTTTTGGAAAACGATATTGAAAAGAGATATTGAAGAGTAGAAAGTAACATGGGCTTGTTCTTAAAACAAATTTGTTTTCTTGTCTATGCCAAAATGATTACGGAAACTATTCCAGAATTTTCTATTTTTCTCAGTATATGGTTTTTGAAGTACTGAAATCAACACTTAAGATATTTTTTTATTTTTTATTTTATTTTTACGGAAGTTCTTTTATTAATAGTTTTATTAATTGTCTGTAACGAAGTTTTGTCATTTCAGGTGCTATCTCATTGTGACCCAAATGCACTTTAGTGAACAATTCTTTATTATAAAATTCGATTTGTAGCTTCAGCTGCAGGAGGAGGAGATGAGGTCTTTTATTGAATTTTCCTAGTCTGATATTTGGTAACTTAATTATTACTAGGTTTGAAGATGAACAATAAAGTACAACTTTGAATACCAACATCTAGGAACATTACCTTTTTAAAAAAAAAAAAATCTATTCGTGAATAAGCTGCATTAGCTTTGTGCTTTGTTCTACTCTATTGACGGAAGACTTGATTGCTTATTTTTGTTAAAGAGAACTGAAATTTAAGACTTTTTCAAGTTATTTCTGAAGTAATTAGTCTTTCTTTTTAATAGGAAAAGTGAATTACTGGTTCCATAAAAAAATTCGTCACACATTGAAATGTCAATATTTTGGTCTTTTGGAAAAAAGTGTTGTGTTAATTTTCTGTTGGATCGGTCTAAATTATTTTCCATGTTTAGAGTAAATTTATAGGTAGGGAAAATGAGTTGTAGTCGGGGCACAGAAACTAACATTAGTTTACCAAATTCTAATTATATGCATGAATGGAGATTTTGTTTGATTAAGTTCGGTGATATACTGTTTGTTCATTCTAATTGATAGATCCAATCATCCAAGGCTCGATGGTCATTTTTTGGTAAACGACCTAGGATCAATGCTTATGCGATTGAGAGGATTGTATCCTTGAGTTCTTCAAATTGTATTGAGCATCTTGTATGTTTCATTTCCATTTTGAGCAGTAGCACAAGGTGATGACTGAAAATAACATCCAGTCTGGCATAGCATAACCTTAACTGCTCATCTTCATACTCCCATTCCATGCTTGTGCCTATCTTTGACATCCCTTTAATGGAATGAGCACCAACTGCTAATACCGCACGTTGAAAGTGAGTCAAAAAATAGGGCATGGACACAGTAGCTTTCCCCGCAAAAAATAACACAACGTTAGTGATAAAAAAGGCCACCATACTCTCCTCCTCAAGGATTTGAGTATGATGGTCATAGGTACTGCCATCAGCTTCTTCCTCCATCTGCCTTCTACACCTTTCCTCCTCACCTGTGTGATCACCCGTTAGGCCGTTTTGAGTACTAGCTTTAATTTTTGTGTCCCGAGACTTCTCATAGCTTCATTTTATGTTTCTTGATTTGTGTGTATGGTTCGTGACGCTCTTCAGAAACTTTTTACGAAAACTTTTGAACAACATGTGATTTTGACTTAAAATGAGGCTAAAGTTGATCACGGTCAATATTTTTGGTAAACGACCTAGGATCGGTGTTTTGACGATTCCGGTAGGTTCGTATGATGTTTTTGCACTTGTACGCACGTTTGGTTGGGGTCCAGGGTGACCCGAGCGCATTTCGATGCATTGTGTGAAAGATTGTGAAAAGTGAGTTTTTAAGTTGAAATCTTGAATTTTGAGGATCTATTCTTTTTATTTGATGTTATTTCGATGATTTGAGGTAGCGAGCAAGTTTGTATGATGTTACTTGTGTGCATGTTCGTTTTGGAGCCCGAGGGGCTCGCGTGAGTTTCGGATTGATTCGGAATACATGGTATGGTTCAGTTACTGGTGTTGAACTGCAGGTCTCGCATTTGCAAGGACCTGTTTGCAAATGCAAACTCCGGTTTTGGGAAGTCGAGCTCGCATTTGCGATAATGGGCTGGGCAGGGCAAACTTCGCATTTGCGGACATCCCCAGATCGCTTTGCAGTGGTGTCGTGACTTTTGCGATTGGGCACTAGAATCAGGTAGGATTGCAAACACGAATATCTGACCGCATTCGCGATAGAAGGGGCCCTTGCAAATGCGATGTTTTTGTCGCATTTGCGACTTATGCAGGATGTGGGAATTGTTCGCATTTGACCAGCATTTCACATTTGCGATGGTCGCCATCGCGAACATGAGTTCGTGATTGCGATACCTGCAGCTAGATAAAACATGGAAAAGTCAGAACTTAGCTCATTTTACACTATTATTCAACCCTATACTCCATAAAGGCGATTTTCTTGAGAGCTTTACATCCCATAGTAATTGGTAAGTAACTTTAATTTGTTTTCCATCAATCCTCAATACTTTTCCATGAATTTTAATATCAAATCTATGAATTTCATAGTGGAAATTAGGGGTTTTGATTAGAATTTAGGAATTTTATAAAATTGGAATTTCGACCTCAAATTGAGGTTGTACTTCAAAATAAATCACATAATTGGGCTTGAGGGTGAATGGATAATGGGATTCTATCCAAATCTTGGATTTTGATCAAGCGGGTGGGTTGACTTTTGTTGACCTTTCCAATTTAGCTAAAAATGAAACCTTTTTTTCATTTGTGGGTAGTTTCTAAAACTTATTTTGAATTGTTTGAATGATAATTAGCTAGATTCGGTTGGTTTGAAGGCTTGTTCGAAAGGAAAAAACGTGGTTGATTATTGATTTGATTGCGGAAAGAGGTAAGTGTCGTGTTTAACTTTGACTTGAGGGAATTAGGACTTTTTTGGTTTATTTGCTATGCGAACTATGTGTGGGGACGACGTATATGCAAGGTGACAAGTACATATGCGTTTTCATGGGTCAAAGTATGCGAATTGGGCCATTTACCTTTATGTCGTCATTCATTCCATGTTATATTTTGTTATATACTTTGATTGCTATATATCCTTACTTGTTATTTGTCATTTAGTTGTGACCTATTTCGAGTTAGTCATTTCTCACTCATTGTCTCTTTATTTGCTATATGTTCTTACTTTTATTAATTGTATATCTTTATAGAATCAGTTTGCAACCAAATATGGGTAAAGTGATGTTGTAAACAATACCTTAAAGCCTCCAGAATTGCCAGTGTTTCACATTCAGTATTGGTGGCTTCTTGTATCTCCTTCCCATATGCATATCTTACTTCTCCATGCTCATTTCTCAAACAAAATCCAATAGAACTCTGTTCTCCTTAGAAGCTCCATCTCTATTGACTTTGATCCACCCTTAGTTCCCAAAGCACCTTGTTGATCTTCAACCTTGGAGTATAATGCTCAATCATGTGCGATAGATCCTGCCATTTATGAGGTACATTCTGAATGGCAGTTTCCTAACTTTGACAAGTACTTGAATTGTAGAAGAAACTTGATAAATAACTCTACTAATGGACACAACATCCCCATGCTTGTAACTATTTATTCTTTTTCATAATTCCCAAATAATTATAGAAGGTAGAGCTTAAAAGATAGGTTTATGTCTAAGGATCACTTGAGCAGTCCAACATTTAACCACTGCTTTATGCAAGCTTAGCCCTTCTAAAGACAAACCTGCAAAAGCAAAGAAGTATGGCCAAATCTGCATATGATCCGAAAAAGACATCTGCCAAGGTTTCCTCTTTTGGATTCACACTACACCAACATCTAGAATGCATGTAGTATCCCATGCCCCCAATTGCATCATCCAATTACAGTTTTTACTTCCACACTTTCCACATGATGAAAAAAATCTTAAAAGGGCAGTCCCTTCACCCATATATTTCTGTATGCAATGCTAACTTCTTTCCTTCTTCTCAAGTATTCTCAAGAAATTCACCCTTGGTTTCCAACATCCAATAATGTTTGTCCAGGACATGTTGCACCAATGGAGGTTTAACATTCTACAAAATGTGCATGGCCAAGTCTTCAGGAAGTATGTCCCTCAACCTTTTTTTTCCCATTCATTCTCATGTATCACACCGTAGACATTATCCACTGATTCATCACAATATAAATCACTAGGGGTAATGAAGTATAAAGCACCCAAACCTGTCTAGTTGTCAAACTAAAATAGTGATAAACCCATTCTTGGTCGCCATAGAATTTTATGTTCAATTAGATCCTCGACCTCAAGCATCATTCTATAGACATTGAGCCGTCTTTTCAAGGAACTATTATAACATTCATTTTCTTGTAGTATTTTTGACTCATAAATGAACTCCACAAAGTTGATTTTGTTATGAAATTTCACCAAAACTTGCAAAACAAATATTTGGACACATAATATAGTGATCTAAAACTCACTCCACCTTCGTCACAAGACAAGTACAATGTATTCCATGATGCCCAATGTCTTCTCCTTTCACCAACAAAATTACTCCAAATGAATTGAGGAAATATTTTGTGCAACTTATATATAACAAAGGAATGAGGATTAACAGCAGAAAGCAGATGTATTGGCATACTTGGTAGAACATGAGAGATCAAGACTGCCCTCCCCAATATATAACAATTTTTCCTTCCAAGCTTGCAACTTATCAAGGACTTTATTAATGAGTCATTTATAATAATCCATTCTTCTCCTAGTATAAAATATAGGGCATCCAAGATAGGTAAAAGGGAAATCTTGCTTGCTAATTCCAGTAATCATTTGAACTTTATTCACCAATTCCATACTTGTTGAATGATGCATGTACACTGCTGACTTTTTCTTGTTGATCAATTGCCCAAAGCCACCTCATATGCACTCAAAACCTCCATTACAAGTTGTACGGAAGTAACATTTGAGGAGGAGAAGATAATTATGTCATCATCATAAGCTAAGTGATTGATCTTAGGTAATCCAAATTCACAGAAGTACAAGTTCACGTGTAAAGTATTTAGACCCCTGCCCAAAGCCTCAACTGCCAGAATGAAGAGTGTAGGAGACAGTGGATCCCCTTGTTTGACCCTTCTAGTAGACTTAAAGAAACCATAAGGCTACCCATTGAGAAACAATGAATACCAATTGTTTGACACAATTCCATACACCAAGCTTATGAACCTCTCATAGCATCCCATCTTCCTCAATCCCTTGGTAAAAAACCCCCAAGATAATCTATCCTATCACTTGGTCATGTCCAATTTGATTAGTACATTAGGTCCTGCCTTTGTTCTTAACCCCATGTAAGTGATTATCTCTTGAGTCAAAAGCACATTCTCAACAATACTCATTCCCTTCATAAAGCTAGCTTGTTCATCTGAGATTAGGTTAGGAAGTATATCATCTAACCTTTTATGAATGACCTCGGAGAATACTTTATTGATGAAATATCTTAAGCTAATTGGCCTCATATCCGAAAATGTTGTCAATTCCTTCTTTATTGGTAGAAGTACTAGGTTTGTGTGAGTCACAAATCTAGGCAGTTCCTGGCCATTGAAGAAAACTTTCACCATCTCAAATACATCATCTCCAATGTTCTCCCAACATGCTTGAAAGAAACAGTCATTGAAACCATCAGGATCTCCTGCACTATCACCATTGGGACCAAATACAACCTGCTTTACTTTATCTTTTGTTTATTGTTTAACAAGTTCCTGATTCTGTTCCATCTCCACCATACTAGGGACATGATAATGCCAAAAACAGTATGAGCCCTCTATTCATGGAATTGCGCCTGAAAGAAATTCACTCCTTCCCCTACCATTGCCTCGTTGCCTTCAAGACATTGCCCCATATTGTTCTGAATTCTTTTCACTTGTAATCTCTTCCTTCTTCCATTAACCTGAGCATGAAATTTCTTTTATATTCCTATCACTATCTTGGAACCAACTCATCCCAGCTTTTTGTTTCCAGAATTCCTCCGCCAAATGAAGATATCTAGTGTATTCTTCATGAACCTTCAATAATCTCTCTCTATTGTGTTATTTGTAGGATTCAACACAAATTGTGTTATATGAACAATGACAAGTTCTTCCAAGCTAGCAATCTTCTGAAAAATATTTCTATAGGTGGATTTGCTCCATATTGACAACGCTTTCTTCAATTTTTTTAACGTGTAATTAAACAAGATGAAAGGATTACCACTGAAGTTAGCCTGCCAGTTCTCCTTCACTACATCAAGGAAAGATTCAGGTTTGATCCAAAACATCAAAAACTTGAAAGACTTCCTGAAAGGGGTTGCTTTAAGGTCACAATAAAGAATCTTAGGGCTATGATATGAGCCTGTTTGTGACAAGTGAATGACTTCCAATCTGGATAGTATTTGCTAAAATTTCATATTAGCTAAAGCACATGTCAAACCTATTGAAAAACGAAATCATCATCAATTCTACCATTTCACCATGTATATATGCTTCTCTTGAACCTAAGGTAAAATAAATTGCAAGTGTTTTTACAATGTCTAAAGTCTTCAGCCTCATTCATTGAAACTGACAGCCTCTCAAACTTCTCTTCTTCTTCAACAATGACATTGAAGTACCCCCAACAATTCAAGGAATGGTCATATCACTAGCCAGAGCATACATTGAGTCCCATAGTTCGATTCTCTCCACTAGATCACAATTGGCATGCACAAAAGTGACTATAAATCCTTTTGCAATTCAGGATTAAATAGTCTAAGTGTCAACTGTTGTTCCATATCAAACAATATTGTAACCTCATAAGCTTCATCAACAAATGATTATACTTTATTAGAAACATTGGCAAAATCATGTTGAATACCAAGCTTTCTTCTATACCCCTCCAACTTATTATCATTTTGCGTTGGTTCCATTAATCCAATAAGATAGGGTTGATATTTTCTATATGGGCTCCCCTTCCAGCCTAAGATGCGGCTGGGTCTACTGGAAATAGTCCAGCCTAAGTCATAGAGTCCATAAACCACAACATACGACCTATGACCTCTTGGAAGGCCAGTGCGGTCGTGAACTCCGTCGGGGCTTGCTCAAGTGCAGGTATCTCGTCCCACTCCTCAATAATATGATCCTCCACCGAATTCACTGGTGGTACTATTGGAGATACTTTAGGACGCCCTCATCCCCAACAAGAGCTTTGGACCTCTCTCGGGCTTTGGCTATCGGGGAGCAACCCCTCCGCCGCCAGATGATGACATCACATGCATTCTCACCATCTGTGGGAGAATAAGAGCAAGACGTAGACTTAGAACAAAATCAACAACACGATAGGAAAGGAAGAAAGATAAGTTTCCTAAAACCATACAGCCTCTCAAAGATAAGTATGAACGTCCTGCACCGATACACAAGACTCTACTAGGTCTACTCATGACTCATGAAACCTATGTGAACCTAGTGCTTTGATACCAAGTTTTCACGACCCAATGCCCACCAAAGGTTGTTGCCGTTAGGCAATCAACAACAAATCATCACCATAATCGCCATCTCATAACACTTTTAAAAACAGGTAATGGTAATTAAGCGAAAGTAGATTATGGAACCATGATAAAATTCCATCATCTTTACCAAGTTACGAAATATGAAAAGAACTTAAGGCTAAATAATATAATAGCAAATACAACCATGAGCATCAGCCAAAAAATCCCAAAATTCGGTGATACAATTGCATGAGCATCTGATAAAACATACAAAATCACTATTACTACAGTCTAGAATGAAAGTAGACAAAATGCAATAAATATAGGGAAAGGAGACTACATGTGCTGCGGGTGGAAGAATGCAAAACAGCTCATCACTAAGTCTCCCAGTTGGTACACCGTCACGCCTAAGTGACCACCCGATGTACTTGTGAGCACCTAATTTTTGATAATATTTAATTTTTTGTCACTTCTTCTATGTAAATATTTTAAGGGTTTTAACCTACAATTTTTAGCTTTGTTACACTTTTTATTATAGGGTAAAAATACAAAATTTTAAAAGGTGAATTATTACTATTAATATTATTTTATTTTAAAATAATAATAAAATTCTGAAAAATATTAATTTTTTTAATTTTCAGGAGTGATTTAAAAAATAATAAAAAGGGAAGTATTGAATAAAAAAATAAAAGTAAAAGAAGCTAGAAAATTAAAACATAAAAGTAAAGTTTTGTGAAAATTTTAAAAAAATAAAAAGTAAAAGAAAGTTGGAATTAAAAAATAAATATAAAGGTATATGAAAATTAAAAAAGTTTAAAGTAAAATAAAGTAGCATTTTTAAAAGAAAAGCAAAAGAAAGTGGATTGTTTTTTTAAGAAAAGTTAAATAAGTTGAATTCTCTTTTAGAAAGTAAGAAAAAGTGGGATTTTAAATAAGATAAAAGTAATTAAAGTTGGAATTTTAAAAATAAAAGTAAAGAAAGGTGAGATTTATTTTTATAAAAAAATAAAAGCAATTTGTAAGTGGGATTTCTTTTAATTAAAAAATAATAAAATATTTTTTTTTTAAAAAATCTGAAAAATCTCGAAAATTTTGCTATAAATAGAAGAGAAAATTTAATAAGAGAGAAGAAAAAAAAAGAAGAGAGAGGGGGGGAGGGGTTGAAATTTAGGTTGAAAATTTTCACTAAATTTTTCTTTAATATTTCGGGCCTTGAAACTTGGTTTTGAAGAAGAGTTGATAGAGATTTTGTTGTTGGTGATGTATTGACTCTACAATTTTCAGATTTTATTCATTTGAATTCACTCTCTTGTAGGTATGTAATTCAAGCTCTTGAGTTAAAAAATGTCGGAGCATTTTTATTGAAGCAGAAACAAATTGATTTGGTTCTTTTGATAAAGTTTCTTTCGTATTGGATCTGTTCGCATGAATGATGTTTCTTTGATTGAGTGAATTGAGATTTGCAAATGTTAACGTTATTTTAGTATGTTCATGACTCTGTCTTTTTTTTTTTACTTTTTTCTATTTTTCTTGGCTCATGACTTGTAACCAGCAGATATTGTTTTGTTTACATTTAGATTTCAAGCCCATGTAGCACCATGTTCATATTTTAAAATTTAAAGAAGTATGTGAAGTTGAACAATTTGTCAACATTAAGATGTAAAAAAAAATAGATTGCGTTAGTGGAAGGATCTTATCTTCAATTTATGTTATTGGCTGCATATTTTCTTAAATTAACCATGTGAAGATTCAATTTCCTCTGCTTCAAAATGGTACTGTAGAAGTTATAGTGGTGATACTACAACTTTCTCTTTAGCATAGTGTTAAATAAATTAATTACTTTAAGTGTTCTTTGTTATAATCAAGTTTAAAATGCATTTTTGTATGTCCATGTTTGTTTTGTTCCTTCTGGTTCATCCGAATAGTTCTCAGCATGGTTTTTTTTTCTTTTTGTGCTCATATGGTCATTTAAGATTCATTATTTTGCTATAAAATTTTGTTAGTTTCTTTCTAGAATTTGAAAACGAAAGTCGGTCTTTTGAAGATGATATGGAGATGAACCCAAAGCTGGCACCTGTCTTTTGTTATTTTCACATAAATGCCAACTCCACCTTTCTGAATTGTAGTATGCTATAACAAAAGGCTCCAGTGATATACATGTAGCTAACCCATTTCTTTAGGCCTTTTGTACTTATATATTTATACCACTCCATCCACAATAAAACCTCAAAACTCATGGCCCTCATTTAATAATTTTAAATCCTTAGAATTCGAGGCACACCATTTAGCGAATTTTCTATGGCCCTCGCAAAGTTGAAAAATACGTAGTTGCTTTAGGCACATAATTTAAAATTACCTTCCTAAACTCGGGTGTGCATTTCATGTGGCCCAAATTCAAATCCCAACAACGTTAAATAAAATGTGTCGTGGACCGCGGATGTATTTATGTGATGTGGTTCAAGACATATTTTAAATGACGTTGCAATCTTCCTAAAAATGAATAAGAGCGGTTAATAAGTTAAAATTAAACCATAGGCTAAAACATGTATTAAAATCAGATAATATGCCAATTATAACAGTTGAGCGACCGTACTAGAACCACGGAACCCGGGAATGCCTAACACCTTCTCCCGGGTTAACAAAATTCCTTACTCGGATTTCTGTGTTCGCGGACTGTAAAACAAAGTCAATCTTTTCCTCGATTCGGGATTTGAACCGGTAACTTGGGACACCATAAATTATTCCAAATGGCGACTCTGAATTTTTAATAATAAATGAATCCCATTTCGATTGTTACTTTAAGTTGAAAAAAACTCCCTTATACCCTTTCCGGGGTGTAGAAAAAAAGGAGGTGTGACAGCTCTGGCGACTCTACTGGGAAACGAACCCAGAACTTCTGGTTCAGGGTTCATAATTCGAGCTTAGATGAATTGTTATATTTTGCTTTATTTATTAGCTGATTACATGTTTGGGCCTAATGTTCTAAATATTGCTTTTACCGCTTTGATACTATTTGAATTGTATATAAACTGCTACGAAACCCTTCTCTTCTCATCTTCGGGGATGTGCTCGCTGGTCGAGACTCCCTATTCTGTTAGTGTCATACCTTGAAATAAGAAAGAGGCTCGGACAAGTTACTAAGCCGTATGGCCTTTTGGTTCCCGGTACGTAGCCCCCTCATCGGCTCGAGTTGTCCGCTCAGGTACACAATCTAGAACACATACCTAGGTTTTGAACCTAGAATAACTCAGCCTCATACCGGATCCCTATTAGGAACGTTTATTTGCATCATGTGCATTTGACTTTGGAGACTCAATACAGGGGTTGAATCTATCTAGGACAGGTGTACCCGAAATGAAAAGACTATCCTGATGCATCTTACTTGCTACTTGTGCATTCATTTA